GGTTCCGCCAGCGGCGGCAGTAGCAGCTAGGTCTGCGGCTGGTGTTGCTGCTCGAAGGACGACTGCGCCAACAAGGCTGGGCTCAGGAGCTCCAGCCTGAACTCCCTCCCTGTTTGCAGCTCCTCCTGAATGAGCTGGCCTCAGGCCTTTTATACAATCCCCACACCGGCAGCATGCCCAGCTGGCTGAAAGGGGTGGGGCTTTCTCCACCCATAAGCCTTTCACTCCCCTCTCTAGTGTGGGGTATATCCACCCCATCACAAGGACGCACCCATTGGCTGGAAACCGGCTAACGGGAACTTCAATGATTGTGCTGGCAGTGGGAGCAGCATGCAAAACCTCACCACCCGCCTCTTCCCAGGCTCAGGCTCCGTGTTCAGAAAGCTGCCCTGACCAGCGTGTGGGGTCGGGGCAGGCAGAGAGTCAGTCTAAGGCTCCCTCCGCACTCGCAGGCTGGATCCAGCAGCTTGGTGGTCCGGACCTGGTCAATGGGCCATATTTTGCCCACCTCTGGCTTATACCCCAGGGCAGCGGTTCCCAACTAATGGGCTGCCAGGTTGCAGCGGCTCTGGGGGCCAGGGCTGGAGTACGCTGCTCTCACTATGGCTGTTGGGAAAGGCATGTCCTGGGCAGGGACAGGGTCTCCTCCCAGCCACAGAAGAGCAGTTTGCTGCATAGCAGGAGGGCCATGTGGAGTGGCTCCGCACAGCCCTCCCGCCACATGGGGAAGTGCTCTTCCATGGCTGGGAGAGACTTCGCATTGTGTGGCCCTCCTGCTGCACAGAGAAGAGATCTGTGGCCAGAGGGGACCCCACCTCTGCCCAGTGCTGGTTGGCTGAGAGGTGGGGCAGGACATGCCTCTTCCAACAGCCGCAGCAAGAGTGGTGTACCCCAGATCTGGATTCCAGAGTGCAATGTGGGCAGCAGCGTAGGACTAGGTGAGGGAGGTGGGGCCGGCACTAGGGGATCCGGGGCAGGGGTAGTCCTGGGGGCTCTGGAGAAAGAGCTAGTAGTGGGGAGTGCTCTGGGAAGGGACTAATATTGGGGGCTGACACTGGGGGAGGCTCAGGGATGTTTGGGTGCAGTGGGGATCTGGAAACAGGAGGCTGGTACTCGGGGGTCTCGTGGGGGGCTCTAAGGGGTAAGGGGCTAACATTGAGGCATTTGGGATGGGGGGCTTGCACTGAGGGACTCTTGAGGGGCACGGAGATGGTGAGGTTATAAGTGTCTCCCCTTCCCTTGCACTGTAGTCCACAAAGCTGGACAGCCAGTGCACGATCCCTTGGCACAGTCTCTCCTGGAGCTTCACCTGGGGAGATGCAGCTGTCAAGTCCTGCTAATGACTTGACAGAAATTCATTATTTAACTGGATTATTCATTCAACCTGGGATTCATTGTTAGCCCTCTCTATATTTTCTCGTTTGTTGCCTACAGTTTTTCTTTCTTTCTTTCTTTCTTTCTTTCTTTCTTTCTTTCTTTCTTTCTTTCTTTCTTTCTTTCTTCAATCAAATAAAATTATTTAACTGTCAAGTCCTGCTAATGACTTGACAGAAATTCATTATTTAACTGGATTATTCATTCAACCTGGGATTCATTGTTAGCCCTCTCTATATTTTCTCGTTTGTTGCCTACAGTTTTTCTTTCTTTCTTTCTTTCTTTCTTTCTTTCTTTCTTTCTTTCTTTCTTTCTTTCTTTCTTTCTTCAATCAAATAAAATTATTTAACAGTTATTCCATGAATTGGCTTTATGGACTCTCAAATTACACAAGAGATGTGGTTGTGCTATATGCAAACTTCATGCTGAGATTTTTTTAACGAAATAAGCAATGTTTGGAAGGCGATGGATCTACATGTCCTAGAAATGTTTGCATAGAGATATATATGACCAAGACCCCAACTATGCTGTCATTCATGTAGGGCTGAATTAAGATATGTTGAAACCCTAAATTATGTCACTTGTAAGAGGCCCCATAGCATTACCAAAAATACGTATTATTCTAACAGAAAGGACAATGAAAATAGAAATAATAAAGTTTTATATTTTGGATAAATACCAGTTCATAGGCAAAGACAGACTAAAAACTAGGTTTTTTTTTATTTGGAAGCCCCTCATAATCTAAGGCCATAAACTGTAACTTACTTTCCTTGTGTATGAATCTAGAACTGCACTCAAGACTATGGTTTTTCAATATAAAGAGAATTACAGTTGCGGACAACAGCAGGTCAAAGATCTGAATGCTACATTATTTAATTTTATGCAATAGCATTCCTGGAACTACCCTTCTTGGCTCTTGTACATACCTTGTGGCAACCAGCTATGTTGAGGGATGTAAGTTGGCGGCAGTTAAATGCCAAAGCTTTGACAGTTTCATTTGTCAGTTGAAAGCAGTAAGAGACATCACAGTACTCTAGATCTTTTGCACCCTGGCAGAACCTCTGAAACACAGTTACAAACATCTAAATCAATCTCATGTACCTTTCTGAGATTGTATACTACATTTACACTAACCATCTGATTTACGTCAATCACTGTAATTGATTAATTTATTCTTTTTCTCATATTAAACATGTGGAATAAAATATATATTATCAATGAGATTACTCAGTTGGAGTTGCATTCTGAATAACTCCCAACCAAAAAGGAGGAAATGCACCAGGTGATAAGTTTTCATTTCTGATACTGGTAAATCACGAAGTGTGTCATTCACAAAGTATGTAATTTGGGGCCCCCAAGGTGGCTGCCTCAAACATCCTATGGACTGGACCTACGGGGCCCAGAGCAACACCTGGTGGCAGCAGGGGTCAGCCTCCCCTGCAATCATTGTGGTGGGGGGAGCCTCCCCCACACTGATCAGCGCAGTGAGATCTGGAGCAAGCCAGCAGACAGCTCTGCTCCGCCCCACCACCTACCTCCCAGCTCATTTGCAGTGGCAAGCAGAGCACCTGATCCGCTCCCCACTGCCACAGCAAAGCAGAGCACAGTGGGCTGGGAGACTGGCGGTGGGGTGAAGCAGAGCTGTCTGCTGGCTCGCTCCAGATCCCGCTGTGCAGATCAGTGTGGGGGAGGCCAACACCTCCTGCCACCCCACACCAGGCCCCCCAGGTAATCCCATGGCTTGTGTCGCTTGGAGGAGGGGGGCTTTGGCAAAGGGGTTCAATAGGGGCAGGAAGGGGTGGAGCAGAGGTGGAGCCTGCAGCTGGGGGTTGCCCCAGAACGTTCACCTGGGATAGTGGGCATGGAGTTGCCCTGGACCCCATGCTCCCCCCTCCACCTGGGGACAGCCCTGTTAGTGAGAAGAGTGGTAGGTGAAAGTGCATGATGAATCACAGAGAAATCACCTCCATGTATTTGGTACATACTATCAATAATGAAATATATCACACATACAGCTGTTACCCTAAAAGCAGTATTTATCAATAATTACCTGATTATTGTATCTGAGATATAGCAGTATTCCCCTTAACTTACAATATGAATTCACTGCAGCATCTCAGGGTACGTCTACACTACAACGTTAATTCGAAATTAGTTCGAATTAGTTAATTCGAACTAAGCTAATTCGAACTAACGGATCTAGACTAAAAAACTAGTTCGAATTAGCGTTTTGCTAATTCGAACTAGCATGTCCACATTAAGTGGACCCTGAACCAGGCTTAAGGATGGCCGGAAGCAGTGCCGGCAGGGCATCAGAGGAGGACTTAGAGCGTGGAGCTGCTGTCTCAGGCTAGCCGAGGGCTGTGCTTAAAGGGTCCCGACCACCACCCCGGACAGCCAGTTCTCAGGGGTGCCCCGCTTGCAAAGCAGTCCTGGATTGGAGTGCCCGGAGTACCCACACTGGGCACATCACAGCACTTGGCCATCAGACTGGCTGCACTTGCCGCAGGCTGCCATCTGGGGAGAGGGGCCAATCGGGGGGCTGCAGGAGAGGTTCCACCCCAAAAGCCCGCAGAGCCAGCCCAGTCCTCCCCATCGGGGGCGTGTACCTCATTCCTCCCTCACCTCCTTCCACTTACCCTTCCCTAGCCCCTTTTCTTGATGTACAAAATAAAGGACAATTGTGTTCAAAAATGGAATCTGTCTTTATTGAACAAAACTGGGGGAGACTGGGAAAAGGAGGTGGGAGAGGTGAAGAGAGAGGCTGGGAGAGGGGAGGGCAACTAAAATGATCAGGGGTTGGGAACAGGTCCCATATGAAGAGAGGCTAAAGAGACTGGGACTTCTCAGCTTAGAAAAGAGGAGACAGAGGGGGGACAGGATAGAGGTCTCTAAAAGCAGGAGTTGGGTGGAGAGGATGCATACAGAAAAGTTCTTCATTAGTTCCCATAATAGAAGACTAGAGGACACCAAAGGAAAGGAAAGGGTAACAGGCTTCAAACTAGTAACAGAAAGTTGTTCTTCACAAAGCAAAGAGTCAACCTGTGGAACTCCTTGCTGCAGGAGGCTGTGAAGGCTAGAACTAGAACAGAGTTTAAAGAGAAGTGAGATAAAGTGATGGAGGTTGGGTCCATGGAGTGGTATTAGCCAGGGGGTAGGAGTGGTGTCCATCCCCTCCAGGGTCCCTAGGGTTGGCCGCTGTTGGCAGACAGGCTACTGGGCTAGATGGACCTTTGGTCTGACCCAGGAC